CTCTGAGGCCCAGCGGAGCAAGGGGTGGGATCCTGAAATTGCCTGTGTTTCTAGGGCGGAAAGAGTAGCCACAAAGATCCCAGAAATGGTTTCATGGCTGCTGGGTGACAGATGTCAAAAAAAGCGTTTGGCTAAAGCATTTGAGTTGGATGTTCTGTGTACAAGGAACCACCTCCTAGAACTGCCCCTCAACATGCCCACTTCACAGAAAACCCAGTGCATGTCCATATCCCCCAACCTTCTTCCCTCCTTCCTCCCTTCTGCTTTCCAGCCTCTCAGTTTTGTTGAAGCAGACACCACTTACTCTGAAATGAAATGGTTAATAACCTGTTGCTTATGTAGACAGACAACAGTATGGTGATTACCAGAGGGAAAGGGGGTAGGGGAGGTAGGAGAGGGTCAAGGGGGATAAATGGTGATGGAAGGAGACTTGACTTGGGGTGGTGAACACACAATACGTATACAGATGATGTATTATAGAATTGTATCCTTGAAGCCTGTATACTCTTATTAACCAACGTCACCCCGATAAATTCAATAAAAAGAAGAAAACAATCTGTTGCTTAATAGAATCCAGCTAGTTGTTTTCAAGTCCATCACCTTAACCACTCGGCCACGACTACAAGACGAGCTAGTTGTTTTCAAAATAATTATTTGCACCAGTGAGTTAATCATCTTGTATTATCCTCCTTACATGTCTCTCTTTTTATTGTCAAATGTTCTCACATATCAGAGATGTTCAGAGGGCCAATTGCAGGTACATCTGTCCTTTGACCTTTGAGCTCAGCTGACAGCAGGTGGCCCCATCCTTTCTCCCCAGGGACTGTCCAAAGGACCTGGGGCAGGAGATTCTACACTACCACCCACTCCTTCTTCCACTATCCGCTCACAACTCCTCCTTGTGATGGTTTTTTAAAATTTGGTAAATTTTGATAAAATTTAGTAAGATTGATTACGTGACTAGCTAATATTTATTAAGCAGCTACTATGTGCCAGACACTGTGCGATTGTGCTTAATTTCACACCTGATATTTCGTGAAGTTATTCTGATTATTCCATAAAGTAGGTTCTATTTCCCCCCTTTTTGCAGATGAAGAAACCGAGGTTTAGAGTGATAACCTAATTTGCCCAGAGCTTCATAGTAGAGTCAGAATTCGAGCCTAGATCTGCTTCACCTGATGTTTTCATTTGTATAAGGAGATGCTGACTGTCACATTGAATGGAGTGAGTGGTGGCTGGCCGAGAGAACAAGTCCAAAGACCAGCATTTAAAAAGGACTTGGTGGCCCTGGCTGGTTTGGCTCAGTGGATGGAGTGTTGGCCTGTGGACTGAAGGGTCCCGGTTCGATTCCAGTCAAGGGCACATGCCTGGGTTGCGGGCTCGATCCCCAGTGGGGGGCGTGCGGGAGATAGCTGATCAGTGATTCTCTCTCATCATTGATGTTTCTATCTCTCTCTCCCTCTTCCTTCCTCTCTGAAATCAATAAAAATATTTTTTAAAAAATAAAAATAAAAAGGACCTGATGGTGTTCCTTCCAAGGGACTCTGCTGATAGGAGCCCCCGAGAATCTAAGTATACAGGAGTCATTTGTCACTAACAAATGCATTTTGAATATAACACTGGAGCTAAAATCGCCACTTGGCCTTAGCTCCAAAATGGTCTCACTCATCCAGACTCCTGTGCAGCTGAACCCTGCTGGCTGCTGATGCTCTCCAAGGAGCCAAACATTAGAGAGAGTGCAGCATGGGTTTTCCACCTGAGCTCGCCCTCACTGTCCTGGGTCAGTGTCTTGCTTTTCCATAAATCTATGCCCTCTTGAGAACTGGACCGGCCCGAGTCATGCCCTTCCAGGGCTGGCCATATCAAATGGGAACGGCGTGGCCTGGCTGTCAGCCCCCTCTCCTACTTTACTTCTGGTGGTAGCTAGGCCAGTTGTCCTCACACCCCATGGAGCCCATGACCCCACAATGAGTTCACTTATTTTCCCTTGGTATCCCTCCTGCCAATGCTCCTCTCAAAAACCCGGTTTGTCAAAGCAACAATTTGGAAATGGCCCAAATGTGCACCGATATAGGGATGCAAAGAACATTCATTCACAGGGAATACGCAGATGCTGACAATCTCCCTCTGGAAGCTCAGGAATAACATGGGACAGACTCAGGCTGTGACACAGTAAGTGAGAGGGCGTGTCCGATGGCCAAACCTGCACTTGAAAAGGGGCCTGCAGGGATTTTTTTAAAAATAGGTTTTTAAAAATTGATTTTTTTTTTAGAGATAGGGAAAGGGACAGAGAGGTGCAAATATCAATGAGAGAGAAGCATCAATCAGCTGCCTCCTGCAAGCTCCCTACTGGGGATCGAGCCTGGCAACCCAGGCATGTGCCCTGACCAGAATCGAACTGTGACCTGGTTCATAGGTCGACGCAGGGATTATTTGTAAATGGTAACAGCTGTGTTAGGAGGGGTAGGTTGCGATAATTTTATCCTCTGGTTTCCAAACTTTATATAATACAGTTAGATTGCTTTTATAATGACAACAGTAATAAAACCAGCTCCCTCCTCAAAACTCTCTCCTTTAATAACTCACCCTTCACACTCACCAGAACCCACAGTTTTTGAGCTACACTGGGGTCTCCCTTAGAGGAGCTGTGGCTGGTGGGTAGGTGACTCAGGGGTGCTCCATAGCCCCTCCCCTGGGGATAGAGATAATATTTCACCTGTCTCCTCCTTCACATCCACAAACATGCAAGCATACCTCATTTTCCCCTCATTCACACTCACAACCACTCATGCACACACACACACATTTCTCTCATGCATCACCCCCCCCCCCCCCCCCCACACACAACATGTTTCCCACACACTCTCCTGTTCTTGCCCCAACACTCTTCCCTAGTTCTCTGTAACCAGTTCAGGGCCCCCAAGTGGATTCTTTCCCAACACTGTTTGACTTGGTGGGGACAGAGCTGGATTTTGGATTAACGCCCCTAGATTCATAGTTTCATGCTGACGAAATTACCTGCGCTCTCATCAGGCAGAAGGTGAAATGTAAGTAGCTTATAATGTTTTTCTGATAAAAGCTAACAAAACAAAACCTTAGAGCCACAGTGCCTGGGTTTGAATTCTGGCTCCAACACTCACTGGCTGTGTCACTTTGACCAAATTACATAGCCTCTCTGTGCCTCAGTAATAATTCCTACTTCCAAGGGCTGTTATGAGGACTTTTTTTTTTTTTTTTTTTTTTTTTTGCAAAGCAGACAGAACAATACCCAGTAAGTTCTACATGGTACATAAATAAAAGAAAGAAAAGTGATTACTTAAATGCAACCAGCATTAGCTGCCCATTCATTCACTGCCTCTCACTCATTCGGTATTTATCGAGCACTTACTGAATTCATTACCATCACTTCACCATCTAGTAGGAAAAACACATAGGCACCAACAGAAAAAAATGTTTTCTTTTAGAAAAAAGTGATAATTCTAAGTAGAGATTTGCGCACGATTCTAACAAAGGCCAAAGGAAGAACATTTACGATTTCGCAAGTAAACTTAAAAAGGAACAAAAAACCCCCTACAGTTCAAGCCTTTGAATCCATTTAAAACATCAAATTTGGTCTGATTTGTGAATTTAGAGACACTAGCCTTTTGGAGAATATTGCCATTCAATGCCCTCTCTTCAACCTCTCTGGATGCTTTTCTGCCTGCCTCCCGCTCCCTATCTTCTTGATCACCCAGAAAATAGTCCTGGGTTCACCCCCAGTCCTCAGTTAACGGATGGTGAAGGGGATATGGGTTCCATCGAACCAACCCTCAGTCATTTTCTTTACTTTTTAAATATATTTTTACTGATTTCAGAGAGAAAGAGAGATAGAAACATCAATGACGAGAGAGAATCCTTGATCAGCTGCCTCCTGATCGCCCCATGCTGGGAATGGAGCAGCAACCCAAGCATATGCCCTGACGGGACTAGAACTGTGATCTCCTGGTTCATGGGTCGACACTCAGCCACTGAGCCACGCTGGCTGGGCAACCCTCAGTCATTTTAAAAAAACAACTTATAAATATTTGGGAGAAGGGGGAAGAGGATGGAAGCCCCAGTAACTCGTAAGATCTCAACTGGAGATCTCCAGATGGTTTAATAACTGATGGAAATGAAATGAAGTCACTCCCCTCCCCCCATTCAATTCTTGTGAATGTAACCGCTTTTAAATGCACTGAACCCAGTCAAGCTGGCTCAGACCGGGGACCCTGCCCCAGGCAGGAGCCATGAGGAGCTTCCCGGCCGCAGCGCGGAGGCCCACCCGCCTCTCCCTCCGTCTGCGGCTTACGTGCCCACACCCTGCACTCGGGACCACTTTGGAAAACGCCGGGCAATGGCAAGTGGTTGTCACGTCATTTTCTTTACTTTTTAAATATATTTTTACTGATTTCAGAGAGAAAGAGAGATAGAAACATCAATGACGAGAGAGAATCCTTGATCAACTGCCTCCTGATCGCCCCATGCTGGGAATGGAGCAGCAACCCAAGCATATGCCCTGACGGGACTAGAACTGTGATCTCCTGGTTCATGGGTCGACACTCAGCCACTGAGCCACGCTGGCTGGGCAACCCTCAGTCATTTTAAAAAAACAACTTATAAATATTTGGGAGAAGGGGGAAGAGGATGGAAGCCCCAGTAACTCGTAAGATCTCAACTGGAGATCTCCAGATGGTTTAATAACTGATGGAAATGAAATGAAGTCACTCCCCTCCCCCCATTCAATTCTTGTGAATGTAACCGCTTTTAAATGCACTGAACCCAGTCAAGCTGGCTCAGACCGGGGACCCTGCGGAGCCCGGATCCTCAGGCAGGAGCCACCAGGAGCTTCCCGGCCGCAGCGCGGAGGCCCACCCGCCTCTCCCTCCGTCTGCTGCTTACGTGCCCACACCCTGCACTTTGGAAAACGCCGGGCAATGGCAAGTGGCTGTCACTAGCCGCGGGCCTGACCGTCGACCCCATACCTTTCCGACGCACACCGCCCGAGGGCTGCTGCCCCAACTGCCCCGAACTTCAGCCGGCAATCGCTGGACTTGCGGTCTGGCGACTTTCCTTAACTCCGGGCGCCAGAATCGCATCGCCAGACCCGGGGCAGGAGCGAGCCGGCGCGGGCAACTGCGCAGCTCGGGGACCGCGGGTGCAAAGACTGCGCTCCGGCGCCGCGGAGGAACTGAACCCTGGAACCCTGCGCCGGGTGCACCGTCTCCTCCCCGGAGACTGCGATATTGCTCAAAGGCTCGGAGGCACGGGGGACAGTTATTGCCTCGGATTTGTAGCTCTTCGCGGAGGGAAGGGGCAGGAAGGGACAGGGCGGGGTGTGTGAGTGGGGGAGTAATGCAAGGGTGCTGGGGCCGGTAGGCGGGTGGGGAGCTCATCTCCAGAGTCCCCAGTCTCGGGCCCAGGTCTGCAATGGGAGGGGCAGGAGGTGGAACCAAGCTTGCACTTGCAAAGCCTAAAGCGATTTCTCCTCATAGAGCTGGTTACCCGGGTGGGCGGACCCCCTCCTCCAACAACATCCCGGCAGCTTCGCCACCACAATTCCTTTTTTCACCGGCGTTCTCCCCAATCCGCCCAACGCCGGCTTCAAAGGTCCAGAGAGAGGGATTTGGGCTGCTCCTCAAACCCCGGCCGCGCCCAGACCTGTGCTCAGCTCTGTCCAAAGATCCCCCCATCACACCCCAATCCACCC